GGGGGGGGGGGGGGGGCATGGGGGGTTAGGTATACACTCCCACACACATCTCTCCATGTATATATATTTTTATATATGGAGCATACTCGAAAAATCTTTGTTTCATAGTAATTAAAGGAGAAAATAAGTGTTATTTGGAATGCAACTGATTTTCAAAATCAGAGAAATATTTTTTGTAAAGTTAGCATAAAAATCATTACCTTAATCTTGCTATTTGTATATATTGAAATATGTAATCTCTGTGATCGTCAGTCACAGTATATTGCCAACTATGGCAAAAGGCAGTTGTAGTCTGTGTAGTTAATAAGTTATTTTTTTGTGACACGAAGTGGGGCACGTGAGGCTTTTGGTGGACATTTGGAAGAGTAGTTCAGTGTAGACCCTCAACCTTCTGTGTGCACAAGCCTTGCTCATAACCATGTAACCAGCACATAAAATCATTCAAAATTTACATCCTGCCAATACTAACTCTACTTTGCTGCATACTTTTTGCTACTGTCTTTGTCTAATTAGCAGAAGCAATTAAAAATAATTTGTCTGCAGTCCTCTCTTTGGGCCCTGTATACTTCATTGTCTTGAAACACCAGCTCTTTTAAGACTCAACATGGACAGATGATTGAAAAAGACACAGTTGTTTAATTTAGAATGAAGTCAAGAAATTCTCTAGTGTAATAAATAAATTTTAAAGATATGCTTTGTCACTTTTGTGATCATAAGCTTAAGAGGACAGTCAAATGAGTTAAAAGGTGCCACGTTGGAAGAAAATAAAAATTTATTTTTCCGTGGAATCCATGATTTAAGTTGAACTTGCTCATTGTCCTCAGGAAGGAATGTACAACCCACCAAGGAATTGCACGTTTATACAAATGAAAAGACTTTTCAAGTAGAAGTTTATAGGTTTTTTTTTTTGGTTTGGTTATTTTTTTAATATAAGTTAATGCTGCAAAAGGTGAAGGTGGGAGTACTGATTATGCTTAGAAGGATTAAGGAGTGTTTTTAACATTTCATTTTTCAAATTTAGTGTGCCTTAATCCAAACAACGTTTGTTCAGAAGGTACAATTTTGAAAGATTTATCTAATGAATACAGCACCTCTTAAATTTTCTTCTCTGTATCACTAAAGAAGTGGTTTCTTTTGTTTCCCTCAAATTCATCAAAGTTCCTGTTTGTTTATAGCAATTTACTTTTCTCAGCTAAGCATGGTATGGTAGCTGTGTTCTTTTGTGTTGTATTCGTGTTTCTTCAGTTGAGGCCTTGACTTCATTAGTGCTCTGATTTGAATGTTTTCTTAGCTGTTGAGGACCTTCCAGAGGAGGTGAATGAAGCCATGGAGCCAGGTATATTATGTTTTGTAATTGTGATCTTAAACTGTTTTGATGAAACAAATGCATTTGAAATCTGTTGGGAGGGGGGAAAAAAGCAAAAAAAACCACCCCAAAACAAAAAAAACACCCACCAAAACAACAACAACGACAAAAAAAACCCACAAAAAACTCAAACTTTTTTCTTTGTATACTTTCTCTTACAGATGAAATTATTGAAGATTTTGATATTGATAAAGAGCCATCAGGTATGAGTTTTTATTGTTTGTGAAAGAAAACATTTTTTCTTCTATTTGTATGAAAAAATAAAACAAACACCCAGAGAAATGTGCTATAGAGAATGGTTTGGGTTGGAAGAGAACTTTAAAGATCATCTGGTCCATCTACTCTGCCATGGACAGGGACACCTTGCACTACATCAGCTTGCTCAAAGCCACATCTAACCTGTCTTTGAACACTTCCAATGATGGGGCATCCAGAGCTGCTCTGGACAACATGTTGCAGTGTCCCACTATCCTCATCATAAAGAATTTGTTCCTTTTGTTTAATCTAAATCTAACCTCTTTCAATTTACATGAAATACATTCAGTACCTTTTTTCTACTCTTAAGTTAACCTGGTTGGTTGGTTAGATTTTCCTTTTTGTTTGACACTATTTTGATTGGGTGGCTGGTGGGGAATAAAATTGTGAACATAGTGTGTGTAACTTCTGACACTTACTTTCTTTTTAACAGTAGAAAGTAAGCACACAGAAGATGTTGTGGCCACTGAACCAGAGGAATCAGGTTTGTATATTATTTTTTGCATGAGTTTGCTACTTAGAAAAAAAGTTATTAAAAATTGAGAATGATAAATATCATAGAATAGAATTCTGCGCTGCAAAAAAACCCTAAACATTTGCAACTTTTTCTGCAGCTTTATGCTTTTTAAGGAGAAACATAATTGTGTTGTTGAAATCTAGCATCTTGAGGTTTGTAATGACAATATTAATGGCTTACATACACTCTTCAGTTTTAGAAGCTGAGAGGGCTTCCAGTTCAGAAAATATATAGCAGTATTTTATAGCAATAAAAATGGTAGTATTAGGTCACACGAAGCTGAAGACTTCTTTGCTGTGCTCTGTTTTCCCCCAGCCAGTCAGCAAGCAGTGTGTAGTCAGGAAAGAGAGTCCAAGTAAGAAATAAAGTGGAATGTCTCCCCGGGTGTGGGGAGTTATTTATGGGCTTCCCAAGTCAGAGAATATATTACCCTCTCTTCGATTCTCCTTATTGTCCTCAGCCAGCAACGTGGCTGTTAGGAATTCTTTTCTGGTGAACCTCACTCCCTCCATGCGGGAACAGGGAGTTAGGATCAACCTTCAGTTGTGACATGTCTAATGTAGACATGCAGACAATTAAAAAGAGCTGAAATTTGAAGTCAAATATTTCACAGCAACAGCTGGAAACATAGTAAGTATATGAATGTTTTCTAAGCCCATAAGTTAGTAGCACGTGAAACTGTGGGAGATTAGTGCTTCAGCTAGTCCAGTTTCTGAATTTTAAAGTGCCATTTTTGAAACTATGCAATCCTGCAATTTACTCATTGACCTACTAAAGTCTTAATCTTTCCACTGGAAAAATTCAGCTGAGGAAAATTTGCATCCCACTTCTGCAAAAGCAGCATTACAGAGCAGTCCTGATAGGTCACTGTTTTGAGCATAAGGGGAAAAAAAATTGCAGCTTTTTGTAAATATTCAGAGAACTCTCCATTTTGAATTGTTTCTACAATTTTGATTTACAGAAATACCTGTTCAAGCTGAGGATTATTCAAATGATGACCTAGTGGGTAAGTTAATCTTGTTTGGCTTTTTCCCCCCAACTAGTGGGTAAGTTAATCTTGTTTGGCTTTTCCCCCCCCCCAAATGAAGCTATAGCTATGTGGAAAGTTTGCAAATAAATTACTTTGTGGAGAGGAGTGAAGGGATATTATGATAATTTAAAGTTGCTTCCTGGTTTTGAAGCAATAATTTGTCTTGTACTGAATAAATGCTAGTAATAGTTATTGCGTTAAATAAACATTCCAAATAAAGCTGTGAGCAGTTTTAATTTACATCTTGATTTATTTTTAATGATTTCAGAGCTGGATACTTTTGCTGTAAAGGGAAATATAAAAATGTCTGTACTTCCTTTCTTGAGTAACTGATGGTGGGTAGTGACACTGTCACTTCTCTGCATATCTGTCGGGTCAGTTGGAGTCTGACTGTGACAGAACATTTGGTGGACACTGATCTGGAAGCAGGGCTGTTTGGTTATGCCATCGTATTTTTCTTGACATAACTGATTTTAAGAACAAGAGCACTTCCAGCTCTTCCGTCTGTTGTCTGACAGTGGTAAACATAGAGTTTACCAAAACCATTTTTAGAGTAGCTAAATGGCTTCTAAATGTCAGGACTGCATATTGTTACGTTTCATCTGCTTTTTGGATTTAGTTATTGCAAGTTACTAGTTTGTTCTTCATAACAAAGTAGTTGTGTTGAGTGAAACAGCTGTGTCTCTGGGCAGTAAATCGCAGAAGCAGCAACCCAAGAGCCCTGAGAGCTGCATTTCTGTTTTCCTCTGATTAGCCTGAGCACTTTCTGGGTTAGTTAATCAGGACAATATGGAGAAGCTCCTAAGTGGTGTGGTGCCCAGGTTGTTCTGTGGGGTTTTGTTTTCCCTTGTGGGAAAAAAAACTTGTATTTGGTTCTTGGGTGTGCCAAAAGTCATCAGGGAAGTGAGAAAACATAGGAGGCCTTTGTGGTTGTCCAATCCAGATTGGAGGTGTTGTTTAGTTCATGTTCTTAATTTAAGTGCTGAACCTTACCTGAGGTGATTTGAAATGGTCATGTCAATTCATAGTTGTTGACTGTGAGGTCTTTCTAACCTGTTTATCATAACAGCCACGTGGTGTGTTAAAATATTTGAAGCCATAGGTGTTCATTAAAAGATGCCTTATTTAAAAGTGTTTTGTTTCGTAACGATTATGAAATATTTTTAATCAAAGCTTATAATCAGTGTAGGAAGAAGCAGTGGTCACCTTTGACAGCATAGGCAAGAAGTTCAGCAAAGGTAGTGTTCAGTTTATTTGTTGTGCTTTAAGTTGGAGCTGTAGGATAAGAACAGGGAAGTGAGAAAACATAGGAGGCCTTTGTGGTTGTCCAATCCAGATTGGAGGTGTTGTTTAGTTCATGTTCTTAATTAAAGTGCTGAACCTTACCTGAGGTGATTTGAAATGGTCATGTCAATTCATAGTTGTTGACTGTTTATCATAACAGCCACGTGGTGTGTTAAAATATTTGAAGCCATAGGTGTTCATTAAAAGATGCCTTGTCTAAAAGTGTTTTGTCTCGTAACGATTGAAATATTTTTAACCAAAGCTTATAACCGATGTAGGAAGAAGCAGTAGTTACCTTTGACAGCATAGGCAAGAAGGTAGTGTTCAGTTTATTTGTTGTGAGTTAAGTTGGAGCTGTAGATAAGATGTTTTCTCTCAGGCAATGTTGCTGCTTCAAGTTAATATAACAAAGAGGCCCTTGCTGGACTATTGGAAAATCTCAACAGTAGATAATTCCACTACAGAGTTTGAGTTGTGTTGATATGAGGGTATTTAGATGATCTCTTGACTTACATATGCTATTTTAAAAACAAAATTCAGAATCCAAGTACCAACCTGAAATCTTTGATTTTTATTTTTGTGGACCATTAATATTACTTTTTGTGCTGTAATTTATGTCTTAGTCTTGCAGCAGTAATTGAATTTCCTAGCTTCAGCAAAAAAAAATAATCTTATGCACATTGTACAGTAGTGCTTGGTTTTCCAAATATTCTCTTTAGAATCATAGAATCATTTAGGTTGGAAAACACCTTTAAGATCATTCAGTTCATTCGTAAAACTAACACTGCCAAGTCCACCACTAAACTGTGTCCTTAAGTGCCACATCTACGTGTCTTTTAAATACCTCCAGGGATTGTGACTAAACTACTTCCCTAGGCAGACTGTTCCAATGCGTGATCAACCCTTTTGGTTGAGAAATTTTTCCTAACATCAATCTTAAACTTCCCCTGGTGCAACGTGAGGCCATTTCCTCTTGTCCTGTCGCCTGTTCCTTGGGAGAAGAGACCGACCCCCCCTGGCTACACCCTCCTTTCAGGGAGTTGTAGAGAGCAATAAGGTCTCCCCGCAGCCTCCTTTCCTCCAGGTTAAACCATCCCAGCTCCCTCAGGTGCTCCTCATAAGACTTGTTCTCCAGACCCCTCACCAGCTTCATTGCTCTTCTCTGGCCCCGCTCCAGCACCTCAATGGCTTTTTTTGTAGCGATGGGTAGTGAACACCATATTTGAGGTTGGGGCTTCACCAGTTCCAAAAACAAAGGGACAATTTGATTGCAGATGGACTTTCAAATAAGATGGTGGCATTGAACCCAATTTGCCACTCTCCTTTAATTGTATTGTGATACAAAGAGAGTCCTTACTATTTTCAGACACCATTAGAATAAAAAATAGCTTGTTTTACTCTGAAATACTATGTATTTCTGATTCTTTTGAAAGGTTTTTATAGACTTATTGTTTTTACCTTCAGTTGTTTTCAGAACTGGTGCAACACACTTCTTAAAGCATGAGATTAGCCTTCAAGGGCACGTTAGCTCTATCCTGCTGTATCTTGTAGAAATAGATAATAATAGCAGCACTGGAAGGTATGAATATTTTCTTTTTTCCCTCAGGGGCAAAAAGTGAAAGAATCAATCAAAACTGATTTATGCAGTTATTAAACACACAAGTAACTATTAGAAGTAGTGCCACGTACATGATTCTACCTTTAGGATGTAGAAAATGAAAATGATCAGCACAAAATCTGCAACAGCGTACCAGCATTCTTGAGAATCTTTAGTAATTTGTGTAGTTTGAAGGCAGAAGAATCATTGTTCATCAGTTTTTTGTAAAAAAACCATATTGTGTCAACACATAAAGTAGAAATCAAACAGCATCTCTGAAAATTAAGAAAAGAAACGGGACATAAGGAATACTACTGACCAGGAATAAATTTTTTATTACTATTAAATTACTGTTTTTTTCTACTATTAAGTATTTTGTCTGCATTTTTTGAATGTGAAAATTTCAGTTTGAAGGCAACTTTATTCTCACATTTTCCTCTTAGAATATGAAATTCATATTTACCAATGTCCTGGTTTCAGCTGGGATAGAGTTAATTGTCTTTCTAGTGGTGGCTGTGTTTCAGGTTTGCTATGAAAAGCATGTCAACTATGCATATTGTTTAGTCATTGCTGGGTGATGTTTATATTAGTCAAAGACTTTTTTCAGCTTCCTGTAGAAGCTGGCCAAAGGAATATTCCATACCTTAGATGTCATGCTCAGTATAAAATGTGATCGCTGCTCGGAACGGGCTGGGCAACCAATCTCCATGTGGTGGGAGCAACTTGTGTTGTATTCCTTTATTTTGTACATTCTTTTGCCATTTTTATTATTTTTCTTTTCCTTTTCCATTATTGTTCTATTGAACTGTCTTTATGTCAATCCAAAAGGAGTTTTTTCTCCTTTTAACTCCTTTTTTCCCCTCTTCTTCCTTCTTGGGGGTGAGGGGAGAAGTGAGCAAGCGCCTATTATTGTTCTATTGAACTGTCTTTATCTCAATCCAAAAGGAGTTTTTTCTCCATTTCACTCCTTTTCTCCCTCTTCTTCTTGGGGGTGGGGGGAGAAGTGAGCAAGTGCCTTTGTGGTCCTAGGTGCCAGCTGGTGTTAAACCATGGCAACCAGGGATTTTATTTATTTCCATTTGTGATGGGGGATTCAGTACGGGGTTTTTTTGTTGTCAGAAGCCTTTTCTCCTTTGCTTATGTGATTTCATTACATTGGGTATTCAGAGCTATTATTTCAGCAATAGTAGTACTACAGTTGTACTAGAGACAGTCAAGAACTCTCTACTGAATTAAGAACTCCTGTTATACATATATACGAAAGATTTATCCATTTCTGTAATAAACATAACTTCAGGTAGTGTAAAAGATATTCAGAAATGTCACTACAGTAGTAGAAATAAATTCATTCTACTCCATTTGAAGCCTGGGGTCATCAGTTTGTATCGGGTTAGGAGAAAGATATTCAGAAATGTCACTACAGTAGTATAAATAAATTCATTCTACATTTGAAGCCTGGGGGCACCAGTTTGTATTGGGTTAGGAGTAGTTTGATTTTTTTTTTATCTGAAAAATAGAAACTTAATTCTTTTGGAAAGAAACCAGGAGATGGTTTAGAGGATTAATTTAGCTGTGAGGAACAGTCTCATGTTCCCAGTGGAGAGATCAGGTGTGGGATTGAATATGCTGGAGTGCACGTCAAAAGGTTTTTGCTGACTTAAGGGCATATCACCCAAAAAAGTAACAGCAGGGAACTGTATCTTTAGGTATATCTACTAATATGAACTATTTTCTAATTTTCTAAGTTTACTCCTAAAATAGTTGCCAATATTACTTTCCCCAGTGAGCTATTTTAACTACAGTTGTAGTCTGTGTTTTTGTAAGCTAATGTACTTGAGCAGTATCATAGACCAGTTTGAAATATTACTGATTTAGGATTTTTGGATAATCCTGTTCTACACTGGCACATACATTGCAGTTGTTGTGATTGAGTGGTACTTCTTGGATAAAAAATAGCTTGTTTTACTCTGAAATACTATGTATTTCTGATTCTTTTGAAAGGTTTTTATAGACTTACTGTTTTTACCTTCAGTTGTTTTCAGAACTGGTGCAACACACTTCTTAAAGCATGAGATTAGCCTTCAAGGGCACGTTA